TCACGTAATTTGCGATATGGATGTAAAGTAAACCTGACCTTGTCATAAAACACTCCTTAAATTAGTTTTGGAGTTTTTGAAGCCGTTTAAAACACTCGAGATYGTGTTTTTTCAGGTATAAATTAAAGATTCTCGCCTTCAGCTCGAAGAAACACTCTCTCTCGTGTTTTAAACTATACGTAATGAACTTATGATATTTAAGTTGATCGAGATGTATTCTCTTTCTCTGGCTTGCTGGACAGCCAGTTGTTAAGTAACCAAACTTGCCTCGTTAGTTAAATCAGTCTTTGAATTGCAATTATATCGAATTCATATTTTTAATCATGTATGACAGTATATACTTTGGTACGTCTTAGAGTTCTCCATCCCTCGGAGACATGCGTTGCATCGGTCGAGACTACGTTTCYAGAGTATTTTCCCAAGAGGTTTTGTCTCCGGTTTTTCGTAGCGGGCAACGTATAGATATATTTGTAAATAATAATTTGTTTTTGGTAGGTTAGCAGTAATTTGCTTATTAATGATTGTAATTGCTGTAATTGTAGAACATTATATAATAAATGTGCACTGCTGCCCACCAGGCACCAGGCAAAGTCACACTCCACTAATGTTGTGTCGTCTTATTGCGCTTCAGCGCGAAGGCGCAGAATAGGAATGAACACCTGTTTTCTATCATTGGCTTCCTCGTCCGCTAATATGAAGCTAATGAGATGATTCTGCTTTCCTTTTTTTATACATATGTCTACTAAAAGTAAACTTCAAAAACCTGAAAATGGACTTTCACTACTAAGATCTTCCTCTTCTTCCTCGGGACTGCTATCGGCGGTTGGCCATTCAGAAACCTATTGCTCAAGACGCTTTCTGACTGGCTRTTTTGCGCTGAATTTTTAATGACCAATTCTAAAAATTGGCGATAAATAGCATAAAAAATGGTTCGTTTTCGTCCTTTTATAAAAGACAGTTTACTACTTCTTAAGCTGATGTTTCTTAAACTACTGCGTCGATCAAAGTTGCATATACCTATAATGTAAGTACGTTATTAAGTTTGTTTTCATACTATCACCAAGGCAAATATACCGTGACAACTTTTTATCACTCCAATGTCTGCTGTCGTCGAGAGTCCATCGGTTCCAAAGAAAAMGTGAGCTTTKKAGCGGTGTTATTCCTAAATGGTTTGCTACAACTCCCACGTACGCATCTTCAACTTCAAACGCCTTTACTCTACTCGTATCCGCAATCGCTTTAAAAAGAAACTCTTTTGACATTACATAACAAGGTCCCGCACAATAATCTGGGAATGTGTCACGAGGTAGGGCTTCTTTGCTAACGTAGTGAGGATGTTGCTCGTTCCTTATTACAGGAGCTCCTGAATGGATAAATCCAGTGTAAAGAGAGGAGGGTAATGRAKGATTYTTAAARAGCCAGGATAGTAATTTTCTTATATTGATGTAAACATCATGATCAGCTTTGAGAACAAATTGTGGTTTGTGAATCGATGCCCAACTGTACGCCCAGAGAACTTTATATACGATATTACGGTATGTTTCATTCATCGAAACTCGAAGTATATCACCGTATTTCTTCGCTTCRTGTTCCAACTTACCATCAGTGAACACATCCCTTGACCAACCAACAACAAACACTAAGTTGAGCTTTGTYAAGTCAAAGACTTCTCCTTGATAAACTGCTGACTGGTTCAGTTTGATTTGCTTATGAGTTCCTCCCCAGGTTGTTCTGATAACATGGCGTCGTTGAAAATCCTTTGGTGAGGTGATCACAAGCATTACCAAAAATGGTTTATCAATAGCACCTGGAAATATATCAAAACGAACTGATTTGTTGACTATTTTAGGAAATTCAGGGCTTTTTGTGGTCGTTGTCTTTGTAAGAATAAGATGTGAAGTCCAAGAACCCAAGACACTTCTTCGTAAATTGTTACTTTTAACCTCAAGCGCTTCCAAAGTTTTAGAGACGGCGTGTTTAAACGGTAAACCTAGGGTAATAGCCTTGTACAAGAAAAACAATAATGCGACTTGCAATACACAGAGAAGAGCGAGAAGAATTGTTCTCCTTCCATGGAAGTCAGCCATAGTAATTCAGTGTAGAATTGATGAAATATTCTTGTTTTCCTTGGTAACTGTTCTTTCCGTTGAGAATTYAATAACCGAACTTACATGATGATACAGGGAGAGGCAGATTSAAATAGTCCGGTCATTATTATTAATGTATTTGTCCGATACGAACCTCTTTAAAACGAGCACATTTAAAAAATCATTTTTAAACATTTATTTAAAGAATTTTTTGTTGTTGTAAAAATGATATTCCCGAATATTGTGGTTGCAGTATTGCCGAAAACTAGAAAGCTAGCTTGGCGACTCGCTGATACGGAGCAGTAGTTTTTAGAGGTATTTTCATAATATGTTTTCTACTCAATCTATAAAACATTGCCGAAAACTAGTTTGGCGACTCGCTGATACGGAGCAGTTTTTAGAGGTATTTTCATAATATGTTTTCTACTCAATCTATAAAACATTGCCGAAAACTAGTTTGGCGACTCGCTGATACGGAGCAGTTTTTAGAGGTATTTTCAAAATATGTTTTCTACTCAATCTATAAAACAAAAACAGAAAAC